CCATGGACCTTAAAAAGGACTTCTGGTCAGAGTTAAGATATAATTATCCATGTGCTATTAGCTACGTGCAGTTTCTAAAATGTTTAAAACGCCAACAAACAAAATTTTAACTCAATCCATTTTAGTTTTTGCAAGTTTTTCTGACATCATTTTTCATTGCCTATTTTAATATAATGTTTTCTTTTGTTTTCACAGTACAAGGATTGTCGAAGAAGCCAGAAGTAGTTCCTAAGCCAGCCGTAGGTGAGTTATTATAGAATGGCGTCGATGCACATTGCCTATCCCCACCCCCTCCCCCAATGGACCAACCTTGTTTTTTCTTGTTATTATTATTGGTATCATTATTAATATAATTGCATCTTTCAGCTGTTAAGGTCAAGCACGAACTCAAATGCTTTCCTAACGGAATGAAAGTCACGGTCGACAGACTTCCCTTCCARCTCAGCCATGACCTACAACTTCTCGACAAAAATTGCAAACCTAWAAAGAATAAGAAAGGAGACTTCGTYTTCGTTTTCMAATTTGACCAATGTAAAACCGGAGTCAAGACTACAGCATCGGAAATCATCTTCACAAACARGGTTCTTGGTAAAATCCTTCATAAGAACGACAAAATCTCCCGTATTAARGATGTTAACATAGCTCTTACTTGTAAATATCCWCGAGAGAAGGTSCTYTCATCCGGCGCAATCCTACCTAACCAGGACAGATTTAGAGGTGCGTCTGTCGAGGGTGGTAGATTCAAGTTTAGCATCCTGATATTTAAAGACAACAAGTTCACGGTGCCATACAAGCCTAAAGATTACCCCATCAAGAAACACCTTCGCGAACGTTTCCACGTCCAGGTCAAAGTCAGGTCTCTCAGAACACAGCTCGCTATCTTGGCACAACATTGCTATGCCACACCCAAAAAACACGCTGCTGGAGCTTTCAGGCATAATTTGATCGTAAACAGGTAAGATATATGTATTTTTCAAACACAGTAAAACCCATCGTACAAGAGCCTAGATTTTTCCACGTCAGCCCGAAAGAGTTCTTATAAGTGATGCTTAACTTGAAATCTTCAGTTTCTTAAATGAGGATGGTATTTTCTTAAATTTGATCATCAAATAGTTTGTAAACCTCATGGTACATATGAACTTGTTTAAACGATCTTTTTTGACACACTAAGACCAAGACTTTCAATGAAACATGTTTCGTTTTGATAAGAAATATAGTAATTGTGTCAGTTTTATATTAAGTAACTCAAACATTTTCGTGCGAGCTACATGGCATTAGAGTTCAAAGGCAGAACACTTTATTCTTCGTATACGAAAAGTCGCAAATTTTTGAAACAAAAAACTCGTACCCAGTCGCTCTCTAGCTTTTTCAGCGGCGCCCAATGCATGAAGGGAAGGGCGTGAAAAAACAAAAACGTAAACGTGCGAGTCATTGGATAGTAAGGTTCCCACTTTCATGGTATAACACCATACGGAACTTCAGCTATTGCACTTTAACGGATTAATGAGCCCCGACTCTCTATCCCAAATTATTGCACTTTTCACGASTATTACTGATTACACAAGAACACTTTTTGACGTCCTTGAAAGTCACTCTATATACCTAATTCAATCTAAGGACAAAGTATGCACAATTGAAGTTATAATTGTTATTTTTACCACAGTTGTCCTGCTGACAAAACTCTCAAGTTCCATAAATCCCCWTCAGCAAATATACAGAGGTTCAGTGCCCAGACTTTCMACTTTCGTCGACCAGGACCAGCAAAATACCACTATATTTACATCCACTGCGTCGTCACCGTTTGTGACGGAAACAAGAAAAACAGCGTGTGCGCAAAGGGCTGCCAGAAAAAGAAGCTTGGAAAACGTGAAGAATCGAGCTTGGACCAAGGGATTGGAAAAATCAGTCTKACTCAAGGACCATTCGCCGTACAAGTTCCAGATGTTCAACACGACGAAAGTAACATTGAGAGAGCTGGTATGTATGTTTGGTTAAAASCGTTTGTAGATGAGCTTAAAAGTTACCAAAAAATTGACAATGCAGGCACTCAAAGTTTATCCGGGCGCACAAACTTTACGAGTTTCTTGAAATATGCATTTTCTGCAATCTCTTAGGGTGTCGGAAAAGAAGAGCGCATCGGTATTGACAGTTCTCTGCGTCCGGAACTGATTTAATTTAACAATATTTGTTGTGCAAATATCTCTTAGGGTTACAAATCAGTCCTCGTTTCAAGACTTCTGGGATATTTAAGGGGGTCTCAGTACTCCACGGGCTAATAGCCGAGTTTAGATATTTTGGTTCAGTGACCATGCACAAAAGAATTGCAGACGAGGCTCCGGGGAAATAAAGAATAAATCAAGATTATCCATTGATAATTTTATTTTTTTTAATATTGCAAAGAGTTATTTTGAAGTGCACGCTTCAAAATGACCAATCAAAGAGCGTATAATATCGTTTTATTCTTTATTTCCCCGGAGCCTCGTCTGCAATTCTTTTGTGCATGGTCACTGAACCAAAATATCTAAACTCGGCTATTTCTAGTACTGTTTAGCGGTCATGAGAAAGTGCGAGAACTACGACTGGAGTCACTTTACTATATCTATTGTGTGTTAAAACATATTCTATCGCCTTTTTCTTTCAGATGAACCAGAAATGCCTGCCTTGGTGTCTTACAACTGAATGAACATCGTACGCCTGACCCCGGACTGATTGACAGCCATCCTAATAGAGGATACGCGGCTGATCTTATATTAGGAAATAATCATTTGTAATAATTCTAGAATAAAGATGTCTTTGACAGAATTTAAGATTCACGATTTTTCCTGTTTTGGTCMGCCATATTAAAATACACAGGGAGCCCAAATGTGTATTCTTGCGTTACACAAGGAGTCCAAATAAGYATTGGCCTTGCGCATAGTTAATAGAGCCTTGCGTCAAAAGTTCTTATTGAAGTCCTTATAGTTCCCATTTCTTTGCATTATTGCATGCGTACAATGTGGAACACATTACTTTGGGATATCTGATGATGTCTAATTATTTACACATCTAGTGCTTGCAAAGCTGATAGAAGACGATATTTTTTTAAAAAACATTCAGTCTAAACACTCAAACAAAAGCAATAAAGTTAGTGACTTTTACAACTACGCTTGTGTTCCTAAGCTTGCTTCTCTCGTGTTTTTCGAACTCCCACCGTGTTTATATCAGAGGACAGAGACAAGCGCGCTGTTTTATATTTCTTAAATATAAAACGGCTGCTTGTGTCTCTGTCCTCTGATATAAACACGGTGGGAGTTGAAAAACACTCGAGAAGCAAGAGAAACACTCGCTACGCTTGTGTTCCTAAGCTTGCTTCTCTCGTGTTTTTCGAACTCCCACTGTGTTTATATCAGAGGACAGAGACACGCTCGCCGTTTTATATTTCTTAAATCAAATCAATATATTTAATTTAAAAAGCTACAGGAATTTTGTTAGGTTAATAAGGTGTGAGAAAGTATGCATGCCAARATGGCGGTACATGAGTCAATTTTTTCTGTTTTCAACTGGCATCTCTCTTACATACATTTAGAGTGTAAATAACACATTTATTTACATAAAAATCTAGTTCTTGATATCAAATTGTCAAACCCTCTCCTTTGCTTGTTACTTGGGATTGTTATTCTTCATAAAATTGGTAATTTATCCTCACTATTAGTACTTGACAATTAGTTAAGTGCAACACAAAAAGTGTTGTTATGGTGAATGCAAACATCATAGAGCAACTGTGAACAATGGGTAAGACCAAGCTCATTAATTAACATAAGAGAATGCATGTGAGCCTTACTCGCAGTGTGGATTWTTATAGCTACCGGCAATCTCTRGAGCGATTTTCATAGATTACCAGTCGCTATAATAATCCACACAGCAAGTCATAACATAATTTATTTGATATTTATGCTATAAAGTGACTGTTTAGTACATAGACTCGCCTACCGCTACCGTACATAGACTCGCCTACCGGGGGGGGCTCCCTAAAATCAAAGGGTGGGGGTCCTCGGCGGAGATTGTGAAAATAACCCCTAAAAGGGACCTCTATTGTGATATGATGGCCGTGGCAGTGCTGAAATTTCAACCCTAAAAGGGATCAATCAATAACAGGTCATTTTGTTTTGGTTTACCAATTTTATTTGTGTTTTTACACAATCATCGAACACCGTCGGCTCGTATTGAGTTTATGACGACGTTGCCATTTTATGACTGCTTAGGGTCACCGTATACCCTAGAAGGTATGGAATTCTTGTTATGATCACCGTAAGCGGGACCAAAATACTGATTTCAAACCCTAAAAGGGACGCCGAGGACCCCTGCCCTTTAATATTAGGGAGTCCCCCCCCCCTCCCCCCGGGCTTGGGCTACCCATGCCAGGGGTGAATTTAGACTAGTTCAGTGCTGTGAATAGATTTATAATGTGGTCTTGTGTTTAGATTTTCAGATAATCTCTTATCCTTGAAGGTAATATTGTCAACTCATCAACCTTGTCTTTCTCTACACATCCAACAATTGCCTGTCTACATAAGTTCTTGAGGGAGATGTCATAATCTGGAATTTTGAACAYATGGACTTCTACGTCTTCAGAATTTTCATCTCTAGTGAATACAGCAATCTCAGTTTGACAAGTTGAGACTATGAAATGGTACCTGAGGACTATTTCCATAGGTGATAGCTTTACTGTAGCTACTGTATCGAGCTTAATGGCATCAAGAAAGACAATGTAATCACATCGTCTTTCTTCTTCAAGAACAGCTATCTTAAAAGCTACCATTATGCTGCCGTGACGAATAAACACTGGTCCATCAGCAGTTTCATAATGATACTCCATRCTTAAGTGTCCTGTCATTAAAACATCACTTCTTTTAGCCAARRTTAWCTCCTTGCTGTGATCGTAGACAATGAGTAGATTTTGATTCCCATAATCCGGGTTACACATTAGATAAAGCAGGTTTTGGTGAAAGGGATTGAATGACATTAATGCAATGTCACTTGGGCTCACTTCTGGATYGAGTAAAGTGRGYTTCTTTGATRAACTCTCATGTGTTYTGACATCAAAAAATCTAATTTCTATGYAGGATTGATTGTCATTTTTAATGGAGGGRCCTATTACAGCCACTAGGGYCCCRTCTGCTGAAATYGCTCCCTCAATATGAGGCTCATAGGCAATCAAACCGTAACAACCGGATTTTAAATCTTCTGGGTCGATTGGCCATCTACCAACAATAATGCCAATTTTTGATGCCCAATCTATCACGAATATAATACCGTCAACTGAGAAAGCCAGGAACTTACTCCCACGAATGCTGCAACTGATTATTTTACACAAATGCACAGGCTTGTAGCTTTTATTGCAGTCGGTGTTTCTTGTAAATATGGATGGTTTGTCACTCTTGCAAGAGCCACTCGTGTTTTCATCTTCTTCATAGGGAAAAAGACAGTGCAAGTTTGAATCCTCGAAGGACAGTTTAAAAGTGATGACGGTATTTTTAACCTGATCTGTAAACGTAAATAACTCATTTTCTTGAATATTAACTGTGTAATAAAACGATCCAATGCAGTTTTCAATGATAAAAGGACAGCCGAAACTTTCGTCGTCTTCAGCAGCTTTGGTTGCAATCAACTTGACTAGATCGATATTTCGTCTTCCGAATTTCGCCACTACTTTTTGATTTTCAGTCCAAAGACTAAACTTCTGTTTGTGCAAAAAAAGACATTCATTTTCAATGCAATCCATAGCTTATACACTGTAAATTTKAACCTTCTGTACGATCAAAAACATGGCGCTTCTGAAATATAGCAACAACGCGCCCACAAGTAATATATCCAGCGGCATCGTCCATCAGCTGATTTCCCGCCAGTTTGCAAATACTAGAATATGGCTGACCGCGCAAAAGGCGTGTTAATTCGATAATTCGCAAAAAATAAATATATTATACAAACAATACCTAACGGCATACTTTTATACGTCTTTTAAATGTAAAGYATAGCCTGTTTTCAAACCAGAATGTTCGCGCACGTGTTTAATTAGCAATAAAATATTAATATGATAAAAGACAATTCTAAATTATTAACTACAACGTACACTACTTATAAAGAAACAATATTTTATTTGCAATTATGAGAAATATAATTAAAAAGTTGTTCTAATAAACAAACTTTAAACGTTCATACAATTAATCAACATTTTGAAAAAGTATAATGTAGTTAAGTATTATGTAAGTATGTAGGTGAGTATAATGTCTATAAACTATAATGAAATTATGCACTAATCAATTAAATAACATTTCCATTCGCGAGTCACTTTAATGTTCACTTAAGCCTTAATGTAACTTCAAATATTCTCTTACAATCCAAGGCAGCATTGTTARCATATCGACCCTGTTGTTGCCCAATCTTTGTAGAATTATGTTTCTACATAAGTTCTTCAGGGAAATATCTTGCCGTATTTCGTACACTTCAACATCATGAGCTAAGTCGGCATCTCCTGGGAATATGGCAAGTTTTGTTTGGCAGGTTGAAACTGCAAAATGGTACACCAGAGGGGAATTAGGCGGTACAGATGAATAATCGTCAATCTTTACAGAAGCCAAAATATTAAAGTTGAAAGCATCAAGCAGCACGACGCATTCACAGACGACAAAATCTTCACATTGGACACGTACAATATGGAAGCAGATGATTACGTTACCCTGATGGAGGAAGACTGGGCTGTCGAGCGTGTTTACATCATTGTTGTTTGTGTCAATTGTATTCCACAAATTGCTGATACTAGCTGCCATGTAGATTCTTCCTTTCTTTGCTATAACCTTCCCTTCTCCTTGRATGTCATAAAGGCAAAYACCCCAGCTTTCTCCACTATCATGCGCAAATAAATCCCTGACCATCAGGTATACAAGGYTAGAATCAATRGGGTGAAACGTCATGGACAATACAAAGGGATACACTGTCATATCTCCGTAAATGAACTTTACTGTTTGAAGTTGTTCAAAGGGAATTTTTCTTGATGACCATTGGTTTGCATTGATATCAAACAGTCTCAGTATATGTGTATCGCTTCTTCCACTAGGATATGCATACTCATCAAGAGCWGCGATTGTGTTGCCATCTGGCGATATCGCTCCTCTGAGGGACACTTCTGGGTTCACCATTTTCCACTCACCATAACGATTAAGGCGATAAGGCCCGAATGGCGTGGTCTCTACTGGCCATTTCGTAATTATTCGAGCTTCATTAGTAAACCAGTCTATTAAGAAAATATGYCCTTCATAGGAGTACGCTAGGAACTTGTCGTTTCTCATGCTTCCCCAAACTATGTCGTACACGCGAGGTATTATCCATCGTCTGGTTGGCGGATCGGTGGTCAGGTCATCATTCTTGCGTATAAGACAATCAGTATTCGAAGCACCTAGTACTAGTTGAAATGCTTTAACAGTGCCCTCGCTACTTACAAARTCAAATAATGCCATCAATCCAAATGGCGATCGCATTTTCCAGCCGAAATTMAGTTTTCCGAAGTAGTTCTGGAATGCAACTCTTTGACCTCCATCGCGTMGGTCCCGAACGATCAACTCTACTTGCTCGATTTTTTTAATATCAAATTCTCTTGTTTCTTTCTGAAGTTTTATCCAAGAACCCAAATCGTCTTTATGCAGGAGATTACACTGTTTTTCACTGCATTCCAGGTTTGACAAACATTCAGACATGGCGAGTTCAGCAGATTGATTTTTTGGAATTTGCGTAAACTTCAGAAGACTTTGAGGATACTCTATGACGTGA